TCTGTGCGTGCTTTTTAGTTTTCACCCCATCTGCTCGCTGTCTCTCGGAAAGCCTCCATTTCAAATCCCGAGTCTCAGAGGAGAGACTCCAACAGGCCAAGAGAAATGCCAAAAAACAAGATGCCTCAGAAGTCCCTCGGCTGTTCCCTCCCCCGTCCCTCCTTTTGTGAGCTCTGTGCTCTCTTGTTATTTTTCCTTTCTCTCGTCCGACCCTCTGAACATCTCCTCTCCAATGAAAAGCGGGGGAAGAAGAGGACCGGAGATGAAACACAGGGGCCGCAATCCTCGATGAAGAGAGAGAATTGAAGATGATTTGGGCAGAAATGTTCCCCCCTGGCTGCAGCATGGTGGGGCTGCTTGAGGAAAATGAGGGAAATCGTCATGGAAACACCACTGGTTGGATGGGAGGGGAGTGAGCGTGCGGCTATCAGGGATAATTTAAGGGTTATTTTGTGGACACTGGGTCTGCTTCTCTGGGAGTTCTTCAATGCAATAAAGGCTAATTGGGTAGATTTCAGATTGCTGTTGCCGGGTTGGAGCGATGCAGGTGAACACTGGAGGTGTGTGAGTGGAACGTCCTGTGTGGAAATTTTAGTGTGTGACGCAGTCTGTATCAACAAACAAAGACAAGTGTAGAGTCTATTGAGCCAGTGTGTGCTGGTAATAGATAAGCACAGTTTCTGCACAATTCTCAGATCATTTTTAAGTTTATGTTGAAGGAAAACCGGCCTTTAAGGTTGGATGTCTCATCCTACAGTGAAAATCTTTGAGTTTTACACTGCAGATTAAAACTTCGTTTTTAGTGTTTTGGGTAGTTTGGGGTGGCAGAACAAGGCAGAAAGAACTAGATTGATGGAAAAATGGCTGGTCGGCCAAGAGGTCCACCATAGCTACTGTGTTTTTAACCATGACATCACGCAGGCCGCCGGCCCTGGCGCCTGTTACCAGAGCCTTCCACTTTGGGGTATTAAGGAGACTCAGACCACGAGGAGCCTATTTATGTGAACAGTAGACGAGTAATTGGTCAATTGTGTGTCAAAACATCTGCTGAATAGTACAATGTATTTGCAAACTCCGACAGAATCACTGGAGACAAGTCCAGCTAGAAATCTGCTAAACCGCAGAACTTTGAACTCTGAAGTTGTTTGCATCTCCACTGCGTCCAAGTTTGTGTGGCTAACTGTTTTTAAGAGGAGAATAATTCCCTTCCCAGCTGTTAATTGTGCTAAATTACAGAGGACCGACATGTAGCAACATGTACCTGTGGAAAAAGCTCCCTCTGTAGCACTCAGTCTTTGTTGGCCACAGTCAGATCAGCAAATAAGCACCTTTAATAGGTGACTTTGACCATCTGCTTTGGAGGAAAATGGCTCTGCTGGATCATTTTATTGCCCATGAGTAGAAAGAATTTCTCCCAAAAAGTGCCACTTTCCACCCATTTAAAGTCCACTTTAAGTCTTTAAGAGAAAATCCAAAATGTTGCCCAATAAAAGCCCCACGTCAGCCACCAGCCCCGGCTTTCTGGAAGGAAAGGTGCTCCATCAGCCTGTGATTTTCTCCAGTTTCCTTTTTTTAGCCTGTGTGACAACATTCAGCCTCTCAGTTCCTATTGGAAGCGTTCAGCCTCCCGCTCTTTCTTAGACATGGGTAAATCAAGATTTCCCTCCAATATTGAATATATCTGACAGCCTAATGGTATTTTTTTTATCAGTTTATCCCTTAAATCCGACGGTGGCGTCCTCATTTGAGCAGGCTCACGTGGTCCGGTTGGTAGCTGCAGCCTGAGCCGAGGCTGGAAAGCGCCGAACAAAGAAAGCCCTCGTTCCTGGAATGTGGCTCTCTATCATCTCTGGAAGGGAGAGTGGCTTCCTTTGAGTGCGGCTGCTCCTCTTTGTGCGGGCTGTTTTTGTGCGCGCTCCTTTGAACATTTTTAGATATCCTTGACCAAAAAAGTGGCTGTGAATGAGAGGCAGTCTCCTTTGTGGAGGTTGCAGTGGCAGCCTCCGCGGTGCTTGATGGGCCCAATTACAGTTGGGAGAACAACACCGGGGGAAGAACGGGGGATAGGTTTTTGCTCTCCCTCGCCCTGCCTCTGTTTGCCCCTTCCCTCCCAGCCACTCCAACTCTCCCCGCTTTGCCCCCTCACCTCCCAAATCATCTCATTTAGATGATCCCCACCGCAGTGAGTGGAACTGAGAGTTTTCCTGGATCTGTCTCTCTCCTCCTCCCTTAATCTCTTCCATGTTCTTGACACTAATACAGAGACTGATCTAAGCCCTCCTGCCTCTTTCTGTGACATTCATCACTGTGCTCCTTAATGCCGGCACGCTGCCTCTGTTGATGAGAAATAAGGCTGACAAGCATGGCCTATTTACCCCGCTCTCTTTCTCCTCCTTTTACCTTTTTCTCCCGGAGAATGTTTGGACACGTCCCCACAGGGCGCGCGGCGGGGATCGGACCCCCCCCCAAACTGCATAAAGCTGCAGGTTAATGCGCTTTTGGCCTCCTCTCCAAGCGTTTAGCACGTTTAACTTTGGGTGCCTTTGATGGATTACAGCAACATAGAATAAAATCTGATCGATCAAACATTTGTTATTTAAAAAAAAAAAAGGAAAAATCTCCAACACATCTGGAGCCACCTGTTGAGGGTTAATCCCACGTAGAGAGAATAGAGCTGACGATGGCTGGGGAGTCACCAGTTCAGGGCGAGAATGAATAAACCGAAAGGTTGCTGTTACAACATGGAAAATTTTACAAATAAAAAACTAGGACGATTTGTGGGTCAGAGGACAGCCATTGGTCATTTCTCCTCCCCCCCCACTGGTCCATGGTCATTCTAATCCACAATGTCAATTAGAGGGTTTTAAATTAGCCCGGCTCGGGCTCCCCTCCTTCCTCCATATGAGTAAGAAAAAACGGGGGGCATGAACAGTGGCCTCGGTCAGCCGTCCACGTCCCACACCTGCACGTATTTGTCCCTTTTCTCGTGGAAATGTACGATTTTTGGAGAGATATTCACCATCTAGTGTCTACTCTTCTGTAATAAAGAGGCTAAATTATCAAAGCTAAATTAGCTAAATAGACCTCTGTATGGAAAAGACACTCTAAAGTATCCAGGAGGAGCTTAAAAGTGTCCAGAAAAGCAGAAAACAGCTTGTGCAACATAGGCAAAGGGGCTGTGAATATTATATTAATCCATGTGCAGCTAACTTTGTTGCTTCTGGAGGAAGTTTATCATCAGAGTAAGTCATGAAGGAAACTGTTTTCTGTGCCATTTGTGTTGTATAATAACCTAAAAATGTATGATGTTAGGCTCTGGACCGAGCTTTCCAACTTTAAAAAGCAGCAGATGAAACGTCTGTTTTTTCCCTGAACCTCCATCCTCAGCGTTGGGGTTTGAGGGGGAAAATGGACAGAAAATCATGCCGTGGCGTGCGTGTGACCTGATTAGTTGAAAAATGAACAGGCCGGCTTTAATGGACTTTTTTTTTAGGCTCATTGTTCTTTCTAGCCAGCGCGGAATAATAGACTTTTAAGCACTTGATTAACAGGATGACAGCCACCGCAGACCTTCCACAAAACGCCATTATTCAACTGTCTCCAACTCAGGGGCCCTGATAAATACCACTAATGCCTAAAATATAAATGGCACAATAAATATAAATAACACTTTGGCCCATATGTTGTGTGTCTTTGCCAATCTGTAAGTTTGAAAAGAGAGAAAACTAGGACAGAGAAAGTTGGATTCATCATCCTTAATGCCTTCTGTCACTTCAATTGGATATTACCCCGACACCGTCCCCTAATTTAGACATCATGTACTTCCCCATGAGTCCCCCCCGCTCTGTGGAACCGGTCTGCGTCACCGTGGCACAACCCTGCTGCATCCCCATGTGAGACCAAAGAGTCTGGAATCAAACTTCCCCCCTCTACTCCCCAAAATGCATGTAGCTCCTCTCTCTCATCTCCTGTCCTGGTTGCTCCTGCTCTCCGAGCGTCTCAGGCTCCTCCATCTTGGCCCGGTTATGGCGCCCCCCCCCCCTCAGTGGAGCGTATCTACCCCAGGAGACGCTCTGGGCTCTGGGGAGCCCACAGGACGCTGGTTGCTGGTTTGACTGGCAGCTGCCTGCCTGCAGGTCTGACTGATGTGCGCTGCAGAGGCAGGACGGGGCTCAGACTTAAAAAGCCTGCGCGGCCCCCGCTCTGGCTCAGCGCCTCTCCTTGCTGGGTTTGAGGACTCCTCTGCTCCTCTTTTTAACCCGCCACCAATCCTCTTTTCCAAATCCTCCGCTCTCCGAGCCAGACCCCCGTCTCCTTCTCATTTCCATGCACAGAATCCTCTTAAAAGTGTCCTGGCCCGAGTCACAGCCTTCCCCCGCAGCCCTCTGAGATCTGGACTCGCTCCCGGGTTAGCGGCAGGTGGCCTCTCCTCAACGCGGTTTGACTAGCTGACCGATAAGAGAGGGAGGACGGCGAGGAAGGCAGAAGGTTAGAAGAGGGGAGGTGTGACGTAGGCAGAAGACGGGGGATGGGGGGGGAGTGGCGGGGGGAGATGGACGGCTGTGGGTTTTGTTTTTGTTTTGTGCTCATTTAACCCTCTTCGATTAACCACCTGCTCCGCCTCTGTGTCCCGGCTCTGCGCGGCTCCGCCGGGCGGGGAGGCAGACGAGGCCCCGCCTCCGTCTTTGGTTTTCGGCCCCCGGCTGAAACGAGAGCGGGGGGGCAAACCTGGCTCACACCAACGCAGTCAAGCCTTCTCTTTTTTTGTTTTTTGTTTTTTTTTTCCTCCACCTGCGGCCGGCTGAGGCCGGGCGGCCGGCAGCTGGACGGCACACACATAGCGGGGGGCGAGCGGGCCCCCCCTCAGCCTGATCCCAGCACTGAGTGGCTGCACTAGTGCCAGAGGATTACACTGAGGAGAACATTGCTACACACTTGTAAGCGGATTGTCACACACGTGCTCTCACCGCTGCACACTAGCAACACAAGGAGAACTGTGAATGCCTCCTCCCCAACAGCCGTCTCTTCCCTCCTTTTTCTCCCCCCCCCCCCCCCCCTCCCTCCCACCCCCCCCCCCCCCCTCTGCAGAGGCCCTGGAGGACCCGTCCAGCGCCGGCGTCGTGGCCGGGGCAGTGGTCAGCTCCCTCCTGGCTCTGCTCCTGGTCGTGGCGCTCGTCGCCGTGCTCCTGACGCGCGGCCGCCGGCAACAGCGGCGCGGCTACCCCGGCAACGGGGACCCCACGGCGGCGGGCGGCAACGGCGGCGGCAGCAACGGCGGCGACTACGGTAACAAAGCCCGTCTGCTTTTCAGCAGCAGCTCGGGGGCCGGCGGCAAGAACGGCGCCGGCGCCAACAACAACGGGCCCGTCTACACCTACCGGGAGGGCTGCGACGCCACGGGCACGCTGACCGAGACCGCCAACAGCTACCACCACCACCACCTGCACCGCGCCCCCGCCGGGAACCCCCCCACCGCCCGCGACGTCCTGCTCTGCGGCGAGATGGACGACGGCGAGAGGAGGAAGTTCGACCTGGACGACAGCATGGAGGAGGAGGAGGAGGAGGAGCGCTACGGCCGCTTTGGGGGCGGGGACATGCTGCCTCCACCCTATCACGCCCACAGAGGCCCCGGCGGCGAGGAGGAGATGGACGTCTACCTGGACGACGACATGGAATCTCAGAGGGACGGCTCGGTCATATCCAGGACTGCCATTTACGTCTGAACCAGGACGGAGGAGAGAGGGGCGAGAACGGAGGGAGCCAGCCGCCTTCATCACTGCCCAAATCCAGACCGCCTCCATCAGCTCAACGCCAGCCCCATCAAAACGCCGCCTCCGGCCGCGTCCTACCAGCCTCACGGACAGTCACTTTAAGCAGAGAGGACTAAAGCCGAACTGACCCCGTTTGTTGCGGAGGAGAGAAATTCCGCAAAGTGGAGCGACGCAAAAGGGAGAAAAGACTAACGGAACGCTGCCAAAAGCAACTCCAGACGCCACGCTGCTCACCGCCACCGCCCCGATCCTCCAGCTTCGCCGTGCGACCCTGTGCCCAGTGACCCTAGTCTTTCAAGTGTCTTTGTACTTTGTATTTGACGATAAAATGCCGGGGGTGTTGGGGGGGGGGGAGACTCGGCTTTCCTCCCGGACCGAGCCGGAGTCTGCGGATGCCACCTCCCGTCGCCCCGGTAACAGATGGAGATGACTTTGTGTGGGTTTGCGGCGCGCGCGGCGCCACCTGGGCCCCCGACGGGAGCCGCTGGGGGCCGGCGGAGCGGGCGGCCGCCACGCCGAGCGCCCACCAGACCCGACCGTGTGTGCTAATGTGCGGCTGGCTGTGGTGTTAATGATGTGCATCGTCTCCGTATTGGGCGCCGTCTCAATATAGCACAGTTGTCGTTATCGTTGTTGTTCTTGATGTTATTACTGTTGTTGTTGTTACTCTTGTGTAATGGTGTTGATCTTGCTAAAGAAAAGACGCACCGGGGGCCTTGGGGGTTTCACACAGTTCCACATTGGATCGGTAACGACTCATTTAATGGAGAAAAAAAGAAACACTTTTCTTTATTACCACTTCTCGGTTTTTCTTCTCAAACTTTTTCTTTCTTCTTTCCTTTTTTCCCCGGTTGTTTGGATGCTTTCTTGCCTCCGCGGCCCAAACACGCATTACACTTTCCTCCCTGTTTCTCTGTTTACACGACGGGGCGGCTTAGGCCAGCGCCCTTGTGATTGTGCAGGGAAAAGGGGGGATTGTGTGTATTTATATTCCCCTCTCGGATGCATTCCATACGGCTTTGCCGGGGAGCCGTGGCGTTTCACGCATTCATCCTCCCTCTCCTGCAGAATGTTTGCCGGCGACAGCATCTGACAGATGACTCTCTGTTCTGTTTTATTGCATTCAGAGACACGCTTCTGGAGCGGATTTGTAATCATGGAAATAAAATGAGTCTTTATCTCACGTCTCGTAGACTGGAAAAATAACAAGTGATGGAGTGACAGAAATAATTCAAACCTCTTGTCGTGGGTTGTTTCTCTTCTATTCCACTGAGCGTCAGAGCCAGGCTCACTCAGGCTCCAGCGATGAGATTCGGAAATATGGAAACATGCCAGTGCATATTCACAGATTGTTCATTCTGAGGGAGCTGACTAGATCTCACCCTGAATTCCTGGTTCTTAGCAATGGGGGGAAAAAACCAAGGGGCCAACATGAAGCAGCAAACGTGACCTCACAGACCAGAATGTTCTCCTTTGGTCCAGAACGTCCCCTTTTATTCAGGCTTTAATTTGAGAATTTGAAGAAGATTATTTTGTTATTTAAACAGAAAGAACCTGATGCTTTCGCACGTGGACTGCATGATGTTTTCCAGAAACACTCAGGTGGGAAGAGTCTCTGCAGGGATTTTCCAGCCAGGCGGAGTCTGGTGAGACGCTTTGTGAATGTACCGGCCAAACAAAACAGCCAGTGAGGAAGGGGAAAAGCAGCATTCTGCTCCAGATGTTGCCGGGACACATTTGCCTTAACGATTAGAATTTTTTTTTTTTTTTTATGACGATTTGATGGCATTGCCGTGACTTGGGCAGCCAGACCGGCTCTATCTCCACAGGGACGGGGAGCTTTTGAAGCTCAAATAAAGCAATTCATGAGAATATCTCGAACAGGAATGATTCTAGAAACCGGAGAAGCCGGGGAGGCGAATTTTGGCTCCAAATCGAATGAGCAGAAGCCGTGAAAACACGGATCGACGTCTCAATAACCCATTGGCTGTAAACCCAAATGTTCCAACACTGGCTCTACATGTTTCCACTTTCCGGCTTCAAAAGAAGTTTGTGGCATGTCTAAATTACACACAGAAGAAATCAGTCGTTCCAAAATTGGTTTTAACGGTCGGGATGAAGAAATCGTCTGATCCACGCAGGTCGCACGCTGCAGTAAAGCTGACTCAGCATTTGATAAATTACTCTGTCATGTTTCACTGAGAAGAAACTGAAATAACTGACAGCAGCAGTGCTTTAACAAGTGGAAACAGCTTTGAAGAAATGCCAGAAACCAAATGGTGCCTGCTGTTCGATGTGCCGAGCATCGTTTGAAAGCACGAAGGGTCAAGAGGAGGTTTCAGGATGTTTGGAGTCCAACGTTCTGCTGGACAGCGGGAAGCATTCAGGACAACCCCCAATCTGCCCAGGGGTGGACGTCCCGGCAAGGTCACCCCAGGGTGGAAACCCAACAGTCTCTACAGGCCTCAGTTAGCAGGTTAAAGGTCAAAGGTCAGGACGTGCTGTGTGGAGGCTTTTAGGGGCCTGAATGGAGCCCCAACAATCCTCCAGAAGCTCCTGTTCCAGCTGTTAAGCCTCATCTGTTGCTGTTCATTTGTTTCCAGGCATTAAGTGGTTGGAAGGACAGGGGATGGGTTAGGGTTTGATTAGCAAAGAGAACCAGGTCAGGCTGAACGTCACCCCTCTGTTTCCAGACTCACTAAGTGGCATCACAACCTCACACTTTAGACATGCTCTGTCCTGAAGCCGTCTGCATACAGACAGAAACACACACCCAGAAGCATTTCCACACTGTGGTCTTTCATACTGAAAAGGTGTCAGGACCAGGGGCGTCCAAACAGAGCATTGTGACCTCAGTCCATGTCAGCACATCAGGGCTTCATTAGGAAATACTGTGAGAATAAAGAAGGTGTTTGGGATTTTCACTGAGGATATTTTCAATTCAAAGCTTTATCTGTTGTTTTTTTTGTTCTTCTGGTGTTAAGGAAAGCTGTTTTGGCTCTGCCCCACCCCCCCTCGTTGTTGCTTGTTGTTGAACATTATGCACTGTGCGGTCTGTTGTTCTGTAAATGAGACAGTTGTATCTGCTATCGTGCAAAGTATTTCTATGGAGAAACATCTCAAAGCCTCACAGCGCGTCTGCACAAGCTGCCGGCGGCGCCCAGCTCCGGCCTCAGGGCCCCCGGGCCCCGGAGCCGCCGCCGGCTTGTCGCGCTTGTTTGTTGTCACTGCCGATGAATTTGGATTACAGTATTTAAGTGTGTTTTATACTCCTATGGGGGTGCATGCATGCTCCAAGATGCCAGCGTTCCCCCTCCTGAGAACGCCGGCTTTCAGTTTGTGGGTGGAGTCGTTTATTTTAATGTGAGAAAACGCTTTCCTGGATTCCAATTTTTCATGGGAATCTGTAATGGCTGAAAATAAGCTCCCAGCACCCTGTACCCC